GTTTTTTAAGGTAAGCGGGCGATGATTGCCATGCCGTTTAGATTAGGAATTCTAATCGGGGTCATACGTCTCAAGACAATATGTTTACGAGGCCTACCTAATGTGAGCGTGCTAGTTCATGAGAGGTACCCACTTATCCTTGTCCACCGTTTTTAGTGCTCGTGAAGGACTGTGGCTTGGGTGTAACGTCTTCCCTCTTCTCCTTTCTTTGTATTCGTTTGTGTTTTAAAATGTTCGAGGGGACGTATTGGTCATCCTGAACGAATCCTACAACTGCTTGACATCTTCTCCTTTGGAACTTTACCTAATTTCATAGAAGAGTTGAGTTCTATGAAGGTCTAGTCCCGACGACAATGCTGGATATTCAAAACCATTAGCGAATGTTACCGTGACGTGAAATGCTCCCGATACGAATACATATACCGTGAATTCGGGTGAATTGGCCACGTTTACTAGTGTTAACAGTAAACCAATTCAGCTTACTTGGTCGTATGGGATCACATGGAGTTGGGGGTGCCAACACTTGTTCATCTGTGCGTTCAACTTCGTAGAATGTTCACCCGTATTGCCTTGACGAAACCCTGTTCAGGTCAGCGAACAACTTTTCGCGGCGAACTGCTAAGTTAGCGTAGCAGCCTTTTCAGCCGACCGAGAAACCTCACACGCAAACGTGGAAAATTCTTTTAGCATTTGATGTCTACGGACATAATCAGGGAGGTGTGTGAGTATCATACTAGTAAATTGACGAAGAAGACATTGGCAGTATTGAAAACATACCGTTTGTTAATCCTTATACAACAGAAACCACGTGAAAATAGATTAATTCGTATGAGGTGGACATTTTTAAAGTTACGACGCTTGTTTGCGGAAGGAACATCCAAAACTCTCAAGCCTTCTATTTTTCGCATCACCAAATGTTCTTTCACTTTTTTGTGAATTGATGCGACAGATTTCTACTAATGGGCACTGCTTGTTTCGTAGTTCATGCAACTGGCGTTATTAACTCAAAGTCGAATAATTCTTTTCAATGCTCTGCAGTGAATTAAGTACGTGGAGTTTAAAGAACACAAAATGATAAGTAGATTATATGACCGAGTTGGAGACACGCTAGCTTTTTATATAGCGCAGGAATGCATATGAACCGATAGTCAAGAGTCTTACCCGTTTTCTTCTTCAGCCGATGTTACAAAATTGTTTATTCTAAAACTATCAGTTGGGTTTCCATGTCAGGTATACTGCAACTGAAGAACTCGCTCTTCCTAATCTACACTCATTAATCAGTTCTACTAGACTCAGAAGAGGAACTTGAGGGCTCCAAGTGTCCATTCCTACTCCTTTATTTCCTTGCTAAATCGTGTTGCGATATACATCGTCTGAGAGATCTCGTAGGCCCTAAATTTATCACTAAGACATTTTTTCATGTGGAATTTGCTTAAAGTGCAGTGAGGAAAGGAAAAAATAGCAATTAGGATATCACTCGCCTGTACCCTGCATACTCGAAACGGTGAATGGCTGTCCTCAAGAAAGGAGTCTCTATCGGCATCGCCTGCTACTCACCTATCTATCGTTTTTGACAGTGAAATCGACACGTGAGCAAGTGCACAACTCGAAGGCGCTAGAGATCACGACACCACACAGACAGTCGTCACGCTGGCGAAACCCGCACCGACGTCAATCACACTTCGGCTTTGACAGCTTGGCGACACAGGCAACACGCGTCCATCTCGTAACGGATTAAACTCCCGGTCAGATAATTGCGGTTGTGCTCTTCAATGTGGGCCACGTCGGTCTCAGCCAATCAGCGTACTGCCAATTCTATAGCAGCAAAATCTAAATAATCTGCCGACAGAAAGTTGACATTATTAGGGTGCTGAAATGCCGCTCGTTCATTTCAGAACCGTCTTCCGAGATATTTTCCTCAAGGCGATATCTTTGAAGCCTCTTCCAGAGCATCATCAAGTTTATCACGGGAAATGCAACCGGTTCTAGGTTCTGTCTATCTAATCCTTTGAAGTCCATTATATTAGTTGTGTCGCGACACAACTACGAAGGGAATCCTTTGCACTCAAGTGGGTCCTGATTAAACGAAGGTCAGACAATGACTTACGTGAACTAAATGAGGATTTCTATCTTTGCAGGAAAACGTAGTAGGGACAAATATCCTGTCACGTTTGGACAGTTGTTCAGTGTGAGCAGTACTTTACTCCCACTTGACATCCCAAAAAGGCGTTTATGACGCGAGTATATTCTTATTACTCACGTCACAAACTTCACCGTTTCAACGCATTACTGTGCTTGAGTAGAAGTGTTGAGCGGACAACCGAGAAAGTTCACATAAGTCGATGAAAAAGGGTCTTAAAACATTTCAGATTTACCGACAGGACAAGGCGTAGCATCTTAGCCAATACTAACTCTGTTTGATTCACGCCTCCGAATAAGCTGGATGATTTAGCCAGGTTTAATATCCATTTCCGGGACTTGGGGCGATCCCGACTCGTCAATTTCTGATACGCACTCCATCAACTTCCTCTTTATCTATTTTTGGAAACTGTTGTATGTCCCTCTCTGAGTGGCCGCTTCAGCCGTTGGGATCCTTTTGCCCATCATACCTTTACCGGTAGAAAGACCTTTCCTTACTTTACAGTGTTATATGGCCTTCCTTGTATCCTGCTCACTGATTAATTGCCTTTTCGTCGTTTAACCTTCAGGCTTCCTTCGATCGTAAGGCGAATTAAAGGATACACAGTGGTCTCCCAACGCCATGACCACCGAATGCATAGAAAAGTGGATAGAAGACATCCGACAGTGCCGATACCTGCCCGAAAAGGACCTGACGCGACTCTGTGAGTGCGTGGGAGAACTTCTGTTGGAGGAGTGCAATGTGCAACCCGTCTCTACCCCCGTGACTGTCTGCGGTGACATCCATGGACAGTTTTATGATCTCCGAAAGCTGCTCCAAGTCGGTGGTGAACCGCCGGAGACAAACTACATTTTCATGGGCGATTTCGTCGATCGTGGCTACTACAGTCTCGAGACCTTCACTCTACTCATGGCACTCAAAGCCCGATATCCGGACAAGATCACTCTGCTCAGGGGTAACCACGAAAGTAGACAAATAACGCAGGTAAACTGCCTCCAGTGTTGATAACTCATATCGGTGTGCCATTATCACGCTTATCTATGACTTGCGTCTGGGAGCTGGTTTATGCTCAGTGTACGGTAATTGACCCGTCTCATGAGATTCTAATTAAAATTCTGAAATGTGTTTGCAATTATGAAAGGAGTACATAGTTGAGGTTGCACTATCGTTCAGCATAATCCCATAGGTATTTTTCTCATCATGGGCGTCGGCTTTCGGTGAACAGTGTTATGAAAGACCATTGCTTGAGTAGTATGATTCTCCCCGTTGATTTTCAATGATCTTAAAATCTCCAACATTTAAAATAGAAATTGTGCCTAAGAATGCCTATTCTTCCTTACAGCCTTATTTTTGTTTCTTCGAGTACCATCCCCCTTCTTGCTATTCTGTCCTTCCGTCTTCACTCCTGGTCTTCATTTGTAGACTCCATTAACGTTTGTTTGCAACTAGGACTAGCGGCTCCAGTCTGTCTTCTAGCGGTTTCAGACTGTGATCGTTGTGGTTTCATGGTTTCTGTGCTGTTTATTAGAATATCTAGCCAGTCTGTTTACGCCTTGGCGAGGGCTTTGTCGCACTGGGGCAGGGACTTAAGGTCCACAATGTCGTGACGTGTGAAAGATCAACAAACATCTTCCCGGCTCTGAATGAAGACCATTTGGCTGCTATAAGAGACGAAAATTGAGCCGTTTCAGTCGTAAATCAGCCTTTGGCGGTTATTGAATACAGCTACTAGGGAAAGATGTTTGACGGCTTAAATTTTCCATAACTTACAGCTGTAAATTAATGTACTGAATTTGCAGTACTCGCTTGCCTATGTTAATTTACTGAACAAGTAGGATATATTTTCCTGGCGTCCAAAACCATTAATGCTGGAACAGGACTTTTATCTTGGCCACTGAAACCTACTTTCGAGGTGTTTGTTGTGTTTGTATCGTTAGTATTTTTTCGTAAAGATAACCAAAAGGTCCGAATGTAAGCCGTAGCCTGGAGGTAACGGAGTCACATGGCTTTTGCCCAACTATCCATAACGTTAACTACACTCCCCACAGACTAACTAGAAATGCGTGACTTAAAAAGGAACTACGGATTCGAGAATGCTGAGCGCATATATTCGAAACAGTAACAGGGCTACCCTTATATTTTAAGGTTTACGGCTTCTACGATGAATGCCTGAACAAGTATGGAAACGCGAATCCATGGCGACAGTGTTGCAAAGTGTTTGACCTCCTAACTCTGGCCGCTCTCATTGATGAAACAATCCTCTGCGTGCATGGTGGTCTTTCTCCCGAGACCAAAACCCTCGACCAGATACGCACAATTGACAGAAATATGGAAATACCGCACAAGGGCCCCCTCTGTGATCTTCTGTGGTCCGACCCCGACGAGGTGACAAAGTGGACAATAAGCCCGCGTGGAGCCGGTTTTTTGTTTGGCCAAAGGGTGTGTTACTCTTCTCTCTATCCTTTTTCGCGTTTACCGTTCTAGGCGATCTAGGCGGAATGATTTCAGTTTGTTAATTATGTTTATACTGAACCGGCCTCTTGTTGAGTTTTCATTCTAATTCTGAGTCCTCATTTAAAGCAATGAATATTGCTATTGTGGGTAATATAATGTGCAGATAGCATTACCGGCAAAGACAAGGGAGACTGGAATGGCTATTTGTGTCTTATTAGCCGTCATCAGCCAGTCATACCCACCCCCAAGTAATGCACCACCCGTGGCTCAGTGGTTAGAGTTTTAGGCTTCTGATCAAAGGGTCGCGGATTCGAGCCTCGGGTGGTGCACCTATTATAGCTGGGTATAACTGGTCACTGTCCATTATTTTACCAATACAGAAGCGCGGTGACATGAAACTATGCTCAAATTACCGCGGCATCAGCCCCGTAGGTATAGCCACTGAAGTGTTTGCGACCATCCTTCTCCGTAGATTCTCGACTGAGCATAATCTTCGCATTCGTCCTAACCAAGGAGGATTTCGTCCAGGTGGAGGATTTATTGACCAGATCTTCATTCTACGCCGCATACTGGAGCACAGACATCAAAATCAACAGGTCACCACCGCCTGTTTCGTTGACTTCAAGACCGCCTTTGATTCTATCAACAGAAAAGCTTTATGGCAAATCTTGCTTGCTGACGGTCTCCCACCAAAGCTGCTCAATCTAATCAGAGCTTACTATAGCACAAAATCAGCCCAAGTAAGAACCCTTGGTGAAGAGTCAGATTCTTTCCCTCCGAA